GCAGTTAGTACCGAGATCTGGCTACGTAGGGTGCTAACGCATGCGCAATATCTCACAGAGAAGTTGTATTGTGAGATGAATATGCATTTAATAGGTCAGTGGTATCTCAGCCATAGATTTATAGTAATAAATTCTTATCAGTAGACCTGTGTTATAATTGAGGACAGCGCCCTATAGCCTGTACGTGTAACAACGCCTACTTCACCCCCAATCTGCATTCCCTGCGTTCCCTTGTCCTGTCCTCTTCAGCTCATTGTTTTTGCCGCTCTCCCCATCTGTCCTGGGCGACGGCCGTCTTCTCCAGTGCCGTCTTCACAACCTCGTCTCTTGCTCTCGTCATCTCCTTCTCTCCTCTCTCTCTCTCTCTCTCTCTCTCTCTCTACCAGCTACAATTTATTATGACGGGTTCATTCAGCCCCGTACTGCCTACGCCTGAGATGGTTGCTCGTGCATGCCGCATCTATCTCCAGAGAATAATAATATTTGCGAAGGATATGCATTTAAAATGGAGAGGATGGTATTCTAGCATAGATTTAAAATAATAAAATGCATCAATAGACCTCTTTTAAGAAATAGAGAAATCTTGTATGTAAGGTTGACACTCTGCATATACCAGTCAGCACAGATCTAGGCTACGTTCGCGGTTAGCGTTGCGCGAATATCTCATCACAGAGTTATTTTTGTGAGTAAATATTTTATTTAATTGATCAAGCGGGCGTAATCTCAGCATTAGATCTATTCGTAATAGAATTCTTTCTCAGGTAGCGCCTGAACGTTCTATAATTAGGAGAACGCCCTAGCCGGTGTAGCGTGCAAAACTCCTACTTACCCAAATCCTGTCATTTCTTGCCCTCTCTGTCCTTCTCTCAGCTTCAGTTGTTTTTCTATCGTCTCTACACAACTCTCTCTCTCTCTATCTCTCTCTCTCTCTCTCTCTCGTCTCTCCTCTCTCTCTCTTCTCTCTCTCTCACACAGCTATGATATTTTAGGTAGGTTCTTCCACTCCGTAGTGCAGGCCTGTATATCGGTTGCCTCGCGCGGTGCGCAATAATCAGCCTAGAAGAGATATAATGTTTATGTTATTTATGTTCTCATTACTTGGCGGTGTCCACTGACGCGTTGGATGTACAATGACAAGGTTGTCTTACAAGGTACCATGTAGTACCTATGTGTACAAGGTGTCATGGACAAGGTGAATTATATTGCACAAATTTATGACAATTTAAACTTGCGAGAGCAGGTGACTTCTAGCAGAGATTTACACGAAAATTCTAGTCAGGTAGAATCCTATAAAGAAGAAATAGGAGAAAACCTCTTACACAGTTATTGGTCTCACGCTGCATACTTGCGGCCTCTCTACGCCTCTGCACTTTGAGCTCGTTAGATGCGCTGAGCTACCATTCTATGCGTGCCACGTAGAAATACTCTTCATTCATTAGTTCTTCTCTGTCAGTAGCTGATCAGTTTACTAGTGTCACGTTCGATTTATTAACAGAAGGACCAGCGAATGATGGGGTCAGTGCTTTAAAGTGGTAAGGTTGAAGTTATCCATGCAGTCGCGTTTTGTTGAGTCCGTAAGTGATAAGTATATCGGTACGTATTAGATACAATAATGTAACCCAAATCCACAAGGGATACGGGGTTTGGGTTTACATATAAAATTGGTATCTAACCTGGTTCGTTCAACACTGTCCCTAGTATTCATCATTATAAGTCTATGAATCCCCGCCTCCAGGTACGTATCGCCTATCGAGTGGTAATCCCTGGCGCTACGGTTCGATATATATCGCGAACGCCTACCCTGCGTAACTATCTGATATGGTTAGGTTAGATAGGCGTAGGGGACTCCCTAGAGTCGTTAGTGGAGTAGGCGAGGTACGGTCTGGGCATAGTTAAAACGATATCTGACTGTGGCTTATATCATATGCCCGTGCAAGCCAGTGAGAAGCCCTACTCCCCCTAACCCGTAACCCACTCGTTTATGAGAAATCACCGAAATTAAAAACTGCCGGGCATTTAGGAAATTCGAGGCTCTCGTGTGGCCCCGGTCAGCCGTCGGTATTTATCTAAGTGTCGATTGCACGAGTTCGTTCGCTCAGGGTGATCCGAAAGGCTAGCGACCCGGAGAGAAGTTGGGCTAGGTTGCGAATAATCCAGCTCTAACGACAAATGTTGCTGACATTTTCTGAACAAATGGGAGAATACTTTGCAGATCACGTAGCTACACTGTTTACTGATGAAATCACCTGAAAATTGAAAAACTGCGCGGGCATTTAGGAATCGAGAAGGACCGTTCTCCGGCTGCCCGCACTAGCCCACTTCGTATTGATAGTATCCCAGGGTACGTTCCGGTATACCGGACCGTACCCAGGGTACGTTCCGGCAGTACCCTGGGGGACATAGACCCTCTCAGCGTCACGCGTATATGTGACGTGTGTGTAAACATTCAGTGTCAATGTCGCGTAACCACTGCCACAGGTTTACTTGTACTTTCCTGTTCACGTTGGACTGCCACGTTTTAGGTACTCATCTACTACACTACTAGGTTGTGTATAGTACGGTAGATACAAATATGTAGCTTAATAGAGTAGCGCTCACCCACTGTGTTGGAATACATATTTGCATCAAACTGCGAGCGGGTGAGGCTGCAGTGCTATATGATAAATTCACTTACTGTGCTTCGTGTGATTTGGAGTGAATAATAATAGATCTATTATTATTATTATTAGAATGTATTATTATACACTCCTGATATTATATGTATTAAACGAATACTTCTTAAAGGTACGTCGTCAGGATCGACCGTGTTCCGTGGAATACCTGAGACTCCTCCTCTTCGCGCTCTTACTCATGAGCCAGAAGGCAGCATCGTCCGCGGACGCCGCGAAGCCGCCACAGAACGTTCTTGTGTTTGGCGGCAACGGTCTGATGGGAAGCGCCACCGTCACTGCGCTGCGGCGATATGCGCCGGACGCCAATATCTTCATCGTCAATCGCGGGAACTGGTACTGGGACACGTCCGAGATCGTTAAACCGTACGTGACGCACGTACGCTGCGACAGACAATCGCTGGTCGATTGCGCCGCTATGCGGAAACACGAGAACGTCTTGTTCGACTTGGTGGTCGACTTCAGCGGCTACCGTCCGTCGTTTATTCGTAGCGCCACACAGTTGTTGAAGGGACGCGTTGGTGAGTGAGAGTACTTCATACGTGTAGGGGGTCTTAACTTGAGACTACATACATAATATAGCGTTTGTAGTTTTCAAGCTGTGAGAAACTCACACAGTTGATGTAGGGGGTCTTAACCTGAGACTACATACAGTATTTATAGTTTTCAAGCTGTGAGAAACTCACAAAGTTAATGTAGGGGGTCTTAACCTGAGACTACATATAGTATTTATAGTTTTCAAGCTGTGAGAAACTCACAAAGTTAATGTAGGGGGTCTTAAATTTTAACCTCAGACTACATACAGTATTTATAGTTTTCAAGCTGTGAGAAACTCACACAGTTGACGTAGGGGTCTTAACCTGAGACTACATATAGTGTCATAGATCATATATATATATTTATGTGGAATATATTCTTATATTATCATAGATGAGTGATGTGGATGGTTTAATTGCACTGTGATCAATGACTTTTCTCTGCTCTGCTCCAGTCACTCATAGACGTACCTACTACATGGTTACTGCTGCTACCCTGCTAATACAGTCGGTCCTTATCGAAATCGTACGTCGATTACATTTAACAGGTCTTTATGTCTACATGAGCACGGACTCGGTGTACGAGGTGTCCATAGATAAAACACACGACGGACTCAGCGTGGAAACGGATGCAATACGACCGGAGGCGGCAGAAGAACGGCGCAGATTGAATGAGGCAGATAGCTACGGTCATGAGAAATTCCAAGGTGAAGAGGTAAGCCCTGCAATACCTGATTAGTGTAACATATACCTTGGAAGAGTCATGGGAAATAGTTTTCAATACCTGATCAAAGTGGTACCGATAATTTGGAAGAGTCCTGGGGAGATAGTTTTCAATGGGCCAAATTGTGCCAAAGTGGCCAGTTGTGCCAGTGTTGTTTGATTGTGACTATTGTAACACAAAGGTGAAACTACCTGTACTTTTTATATAACTGCATGATATAAACTATATTCTAGCAATTTACTAGGCAACCATGGTTCAATAACATCAATCGTGTACCTCAAATTGTGCTAATATATAATTGTAATAAAATAGGAGGTCACCTGCAGTAAAAAGTCTGTAACAAAGCATCGATTGTGTTTGCAACAGTTGCTGGTGGTCTGCACAGCCAAGGCCACCATCATACCTCACACAGAACAAACACAATGTTTAAGCTCATATTTACAGAACATTTTTAGAAACACTTGTCCATTGTTGTTTTTTTCGCAGGAACTGGCAGCACAGGTGAATAAGTACGGTGGATTCCCTTACGTTGTCCTGCGACTGCCAGACGTCATAGGTGAGTTTTTCTCATCAATTGTTAATCGTTCAGGGCACGAATAAATTGTGTTAGGCTGGTAGAAATGTATTCGAAAATAGTGTGATATTAACAGAAAACTAATGTCGTATCCACTTTAGATAAAATTAGGAGATAGATATGCAGATAATGTGGATGAAAATTCTGAGATGAGGCGAACACTTAATTAACAGTGATGTATGCTTGCACATTAGCTGCTATACTAATATCAGGATATCTATCCTGATATAATATCTATATAATATATCTATATACTATATAATCTATAAATATACCAAATATACTATAAATATCTATATAATATATCTATATACTATATAATATACTATATAATATATATATACTATAATAATAATCTATATACTATATAATATATATATCTGTATTATCTATCTATTATATTATCTTAATAATATCTATATTATGACACTTCTACTAATATGCCATCAACTATAATACTAGTTAATATAAACTATATTTATAAACTACTTATCATCACAGTTCTACTTTATGCATCGAGATTATCCGCGTGTATTTTTCCGCCACGGTCAGGTCCGAGGGACAACACAGGTCGCTTCTGGCCCTATCAGATGTGGATCAAGTATCAGCAGTTCCTGGAGACCCCCATCACACTGCCGTCGGATATCGCCGGTCAGCCGATGAGTCTAGTGTTCTCCGAGGATGTCGCACGTGCAGTCATCGACTCGTGGCAGGCGGGGAAGAAGGTAGAGAACGGGTCGAGCGTGACGCGAGTGCGGGGAACGATCGGGGTGGCGTGGTCGGCCTTGAACTTATCGTGGCTGCATCGTCGTCCTTGTAGCAATGCGTGGGGAAGCAGTGAAGTTGTGATCGAAAATGTTTTGGGTGAATGTGTATCTTGCATTTCTGATTGAAAATGTTTTGGGTGAATGTATATCTTGTGTTTCTGATTGAAAATGTTTTGGGTGAATGTGTATCTTGCGTTTCTGATTGAAAATGTTTTGGGTGAATCTATATCTTGTGTTTCTGATTGAAAACGTTTTCGGTGAATGTGCAACTTAGTGTTTCTGAGTGAAAATGTTTTGGGTGAATGTGTATCTTGTGTTTCTGATTGAAAATGTTTTGGGTGAATGTATATCTTGCGTGATCCTCTGCTCATTACCTTCCTTGACGCCGTGTTCATGCGTGTGTTCATGCGTGTGTTCTGGTGTTCTCTCTTAGGTTCACAACCAGGCGATCAACCTCGGTTTTGACGAGGACACGTCGCTCATGAATTTCCTGCAGCGAATTCAGCGCCATCTAGGAGTGAAAGATGGCGACGCTTCGTACGAGCTCGTTCCTTCCTGCGTTCATTTGTTTCCGTCCGTCACAAGGGGCCCCGTTGACATCAGCAAGGCAAAGAATCTGATTGGCTGGCAGCCAACATCGTTAGACGATGCAATCAGTAAAACCGGTGAGCTTGTTTTATGACGTGCATCGTTCAGTGACAGGGTTTTGCTTATTCCTCAAGATTGTCGTGATCTGGAATACCAATAATTGAAGGATTTATATAGTGCTTGGGTATTTCTTATAGCTTAAGATTGTCTTGACCTGGAAGTCGAAAAAATTGAAGCAGATAGTTCTTAAGGATTACTATTATGACTGCGCTCTCTATCCATCATCTCGTTTCATCGACTGCTTATTGTTTTCCTGAAGTGCAATTCTACAACGCAGCGGAGACGAGGTTTGCAAGCGAGCGGGACGACGTATTCGAAGATCTTTCGCGCTGGGTGATACGCGACAAGGGGCGGAGGAAACGAGCGATGGCCACCTTCGTGCAACTCTTCGAAGAGCCGCGTAAGTGTGCGAGCTAGCTTCGGGGCATTACGTACGGAGTCGCTCTCGGACGGAGAGCGAGCCTCCGGGTAGTCAGTAGAGGGTTCGTAGTCCGTTCTCGTACGGACAGTTACGACAAGGGATTTTCACCGCCGCGGCGATACAGATATGGGACCTGTCGTTAAGTTTAATGTACGTTGAGGTTTTATGCTCGTCGAATCGTTAGGAGAGAGGGTTGTGCTTCTCAGGGAATGCATATTCGTTGTGTCTTCTAGTGGTGAACTTGCTATGCTCTTGGCTCTTCCTTCGTTTCACCCAGGCAAGAGACGATGGCAGTCATAGCTGACTCGTCTGTTTAATTGAGATGAACTGAAAAGCTCTTGTTTTTACTGTCTCTAATCGGCATCATCGTTAACTGTGTTACTGGATATGCTCAATTATTTCATTCTCACCAGAAACAGGCAAGCGTGACTCTGAACCAGCCGATGGAAGCAGCGGTGGGACAAAAAGACAGAAGACTGAGGAGCTGTAATGCACACACGTGGCGCCATCTATGTTCGCTAACGGAATAAAATGCACTATGGGGGATGGATGAAGAGAAATGCACGAGGGATGAGAATGGTAGAGTTCCAAGATGAAATTTTTATACTCATAGAATTGTATTTTTACTCATAACGCCAAAGGAGATTATATAATGCACGTTTTTACACACATTGTATTTGCAGAGAATCACTGTCTAAGATGGCCTAATAATCCTCATTGAAAAGCTTTGTAAGGCAGTATAAAGATTATCTATAGTCAAATTCTTCTGCTGCTCACCAATGTTATACATGACAATCATTACAGTTTTGGGGGTCGGTTGTGCCGTGTAGTGTGAACATTTTCTATATCAGTAACAGAGTTACTAAATGGTTATTCAGCTTTTGTATCCAGTATATTTTATAACAGCAATCGTAAATGATTATAATTTGTGGGCAGTGCGATTACATGAATTCCATGTATAAGCCCTAAGGGTAACACGTTGATGAAAATGTTGTTTTGTGTCAAATCTGACGGACTGCAGACCAGTACGTTACTTTGGCGTGGCTCTGGTGACTAGTTAAGGGTTTTGGCACAATACAGCAAACTTGCCTTAGACGATTTATGTTTTTTCAGCAAGACCTATGTTAATCATATCTCAGTTGGAAATTTTTTATACGAGAGAGCATTTATTAAATAAATCTATGGTATACAAGATGAAAAAAAGATTGAATATATACTTTTAATAATAATTTTCTAATTGATTTCATTATCAGTAGTATCAGTAGTATTATATTCTCCGATAAAGCATAGATAACAACAGCTTACCTTGAATTAACAATATATTCATTTATTCATGATAATAAATGTAACTGGTCGTACATAAAGCAATATATTAAAAACAATTAACGAGTTAACCATTATTAAGAAAAAAAGCAAGCAATATTGTAAGCGAAAAAAGCGATATTGATACGCTGCATAAAACACGGTATACAATCCTTTGTATTAAAACCATCACACATCGTTTTAAACTTCACCGCAAGCATCACTAACCACGGTAGAATTTTTTCACGCAGTGCCCCGTGTAGCAATGTATCTTATAGAACGTTGGTCGTTGGTCGACGTCCGTGTTTGATAGGGTGGAGCGGGGTTTGGGCAGGGTTGCACCCGGTGCATTATCATCCGTGGGTTCCAGACTTCGTACGGGGGTGATGCGACGTCGCGGGGATGTAGGAATCCGTGGCGCAGGTCTGCGTGTGGGAACGCTCTCCTTTGGCAACCTGGCGTTTGGTACTTCGACGTCAAAATTGTCGTCTGCGTCATCGATTACGTCATCGTTCACGTCATCGTTTGCGTCATTGTTGTCTGAGTCGTCGTCGTCGTTGTTGTTGTTGTTGTTGTTGTTGTTTGTGTTCTGCTCCCGCCTTGGCGGCGGCCTTCGTCGGCGAGGAGGAAGAGAGGGAGGAGTTCTGCTTGGTGGGAATCTCCGCCTGAAAAATGGCGGCTCCGTGAACGCGTCTGGTCTGTCGTCGTCGTCGTCGCGATTAAAGTTGCGCCTCCTGGTGGGAAATCTCGGTCCGAATACGTTCGGTCGGAATGGCGGGCGAGTTGTTCTTCGGGTCGTCTGCGTCGTGAGGCGAGGCTTGTTGAACACGTAGCCGTCCGTTGTGTCCGTGATGCTGCTGGTTGTCCTGGCAACGGGAGCGGATGTCGTCTGCTCTCTTGGCGGGCACGCGTTTCGAGCTGAGATGTTATGTATATAAGTGTATAGACATCTATTAATATTAATAAGAATCATTAATAATGATAATAATAATAATAATAATATAATTAAGTAGGAGCCTAAAAGTACGGAGTTTTGGATGATCCGTTATTCGAAATTGTGCAAATAGTATACCAGCGAGAGAACTTATAAACATTAACTTTTAATATGCGTTTAACTAATTTGTGTTTTTAAATTCAAAGTAACGCTAAATACAACGCTAAGTATAGCAGCGCTAAATCGAATAGGAGGAGTGCATGTTTACCCTTTCTTATTAGACACACCGCACGGGGAGCCACATTACACTAAATTCGAACCAACATAACTGTTGTCACAAAGTCATTCTCTTTACGCGCTATTGTAACGTCAGACGTTTGTAGCGTCACGCTGTATATATGGATTCACTATGTAAGTACAACATAACATGTAATAGTATACCGTATAACATGTTGATACGCCGCATGTCGTCATCTTGCAGTCCTTCCTTGAACCTTGCTGATCCAGTCAGGAATGCATACATGACACTGTTCCTGAGCGACAGACAACACAGTCAATCATTAATCTCACTTAATTAATTTAACAGTCACACATCATCCAATGCTGTCACCGAGAAATTGGGACGATTTTCATCATCCGGTGAGAACCGTCTCAGAGAAATTGCGAAGATTTTTATTAACTTATAGAAGTGTCGCTTTCTTTGGTTTCTTTGTTCATTGGACCTGTTATTGCGAAACTATGATTTTCCGCATTATCTGTTGGGCGAATGGTAGAGGGCGCTCGTTACCTATTGGGCGAATGGTAGAGGGCGCTCGTTACCTGGTGGAGGAATGGTAGAGACCGAGCGTGTGTCCCAGTTCATGAAGCATAGTGTAGTTCATGACTCGACCGGGAAATCCATTGACGTTCCAATCCTCGTCTCTGTCGAAGTGTATTCGACCCTGCATGTAGCGTTTTCACGAAAAAATAGTTGGCACAGAAAAACGACAGCGACATGAATGTTCGTGATGCCTAGATGCATAAAGCAAGGATTTCAAACAGTCTTCCTGACCCGTTCTCGGTTGTTTCCGACCACTATAACACTTATTAGTTTACGCATTATTATGCTTACGTAACAGCAAGTGGCTACAGTAAGGGTAACATGTCTTAGAACACTCGTGCAGTGGTTACTATACCGTTCTCAATCGTGCAGTTATTCATGAAACAATTCCTTTAAACACTTATTCCTTAACGTTTCGATGATACACTTCGATGTATATTCATGATTTTATTATATTCGATTATATATTTCAGCTAAACACTCAATGCCTCCGTATTCAACGGACAGTCTTTAACGCTACCCTATCTAAGCATAAAGTTACGCGGTCTCTGTTTATTGTATCTGCAGAACGTTTTTTGCGAATTTTAAAACTGCGTATACCCGCAGGTTCCCGCCGGAGACTGGGAAGAAGGCATGCGCGTACGTTCCTCCACTACCATCGAACGGCACCGGGTCGCCATGGTAACGACGGAAAAAGCCGAGGTTGATGTCGGCAGTCTCTTCGTCATCCCTAGCGGCTCTCAGTCTGTGAGACAGAAATTACGTGAGTATTAAATGACAATATTAAATCGGGTGGTAATTGTGAGGTTATCAGGAATGTCCTAATATAGACAGGAGTGTCATAGATTAGACAGGAGTGTCATAGATTAGACAGGAGTGTCATAGATTAGACAGAGGGTCATAGATTAGACAGGGTGTCATAGTAGATTAGCCAGGCAGGTAGATTAGACAAAGTGTCATAGAGTTAGACAGGAGGTAATAGATTATACAGGAGGTCATAGAGTATACAGCGCAGTGTCATAGATTAGACAGGAGTGTCATAGATTAGACAGGAGTGTCATAGATTAGACAGGAGTGTCATAGATTAGACAGGAGTGTCATAGATTAGACAGGAGTGTCATAGATTAGACAGGAGTGTCATAGATTAGACAGGAGTGTCATAGATTAGACAGGAGTGTCATAGATTAGACAGGAGTGTCATAGATTAGACAGGAGTGTCATAGATTAGACAGGAGTGCATAGATTAGGACAGGAGGTCATAGATTAGACAGCGAGTGTCATAGATTAGACCAGGAGGTCATAGATTAGACAGGAGTGTTCATATATTAACAGAAGTATCATAGATTGACAGAGTGTCATAGATTAGACAGGCAGTGTCAATAGATTGACAGGCGAGTGTCATAATAGACAGGAGGGTCATAATTAGACAGGAGTTCATAAATGACAGAAGTATATGCATTGACAGGAGGTCATAATTAGACAGGAGTTCATAGATTATACGAGGCAGGGTCATGAGATTACACAGAGTGTCGCTAGATTAGCAGGAGTGCTCATAGATTAGACAGAGTGTCATAATTAGACAGGAGTTCATAGATTAGACAGGAGATGCATAGGATTAGACAGGAGTTCTAGATTAGCAGGAGTGTTATAGATTAGACAGGCGTGTCATAATTAGCAGGGTGCATAGATTTAGCAGGAGAGTGTCATAGATTAGAAAGCGTGTGTCATAGATTAGACAGGAGTATCATAGATTAGACAGGAGTGTCGTAGATTAGGCAGGAGTGTTATAGATAGGACAGGAGGGTCTAGATTAGACAGGTGTTCATAGATGTAAGACCAGGGGCGTCATAGTAATTAGACAGGAGGATAGATAGACAGGCAGTGTCATAGATTAGACAGGAGTGTCATGAGAGTAGACACGAGTGTCATAGATTAGACATGAGTGAAATAGAGTAGACAGGAGTGTCAGTAGATTAGACAGGAGTGTCATAGATTAGAAGGCTAGTGGCATAGATTAGACAGAGTGTCATGATTAGACAGGGTGTCATGATTAGACAGGAGTGTCATAGAGTAGACAGGAGTGGTATAGATTAACAGCGAGTGTCATAAATATCAGGGTGTGCTCATAGATTAGGACGCGTGTGTCATAGTTAGACAGGAGTAATAGATTAGACAGGAGTGTCATAGATTAGACAGGAGTGTCATAGATTAGACAGGAGTGTTGTAATACAGTCTATATTACGACGCTCCTGAGATTGTTGTATGACTACGAGTGACTGAATCACTTATTGCAGCATGGCACCGACACGGCGTACTACGCTGTTATAGCGTTGCAGATCCTGGTTCGCGCGCCTACTATTCACGAATTCTACACTGAATTTAATGAGAGCAACTTATCGAAAGCCCATAACAGGAACAAAAATCATATAGATAACAGAAGCTAAAATGAGCAATCAATTACGATAATCGATCACTACGATGACTATACTATACCAACACTATATATACTATATTACTATACTAATTATTATGCAATGATAGGGAATAATAGCTGAAGTAACATTGCTATTACGTGTTACCTTAGTACGTCGTTACCGCGACCGCTGTTTGCTGCTGTCTCCCACATCTCTAGCGCTCTGTCCATCATCATCCTGAATATATATATATATACATATATATAGGGCCGTAGCTAGTGGGGGCAAGGGGGCAGTTGCCCCCCTCCCTCCAGAAAAAATTATATACAAGACATGGTCAATGGCGGTCACCTTCCCAGAACACACCACGCAGGTGGCTTTCCCCCAGGCAAAATGTGTACTCTTAATATCTATCTCCTATATGTATCTCCTAATATATATCTCCTAATATGTATCTCCTAATATATATCTCCTAATATGTATCTCCTGATATATAAGATGTTGATTTAACATATTGAGGTAGTTAGACAATAGCTATAGTGCAGTTTATCTTAATTACAATTGTACGACTATATATCAGTGCTTTATGTCGGACAATACTTCATACCTCAGTTCATCGTCTGACCTTCGGTTGTCCCCCGCGAGAACTCTCCACGTGACCTCGCATTTAAACCAGCGATCTCGCAGGTTCACTGTGACAATAAATTATGTTAATTATAGATGAATTAAACATTGGAGGTGTTAGCACCGAAACAAAAGTAGTGCTAGCATTAGTCTTAGCTTTAGCTTTTTCTCGTAGACCGGACCTCTATATTCCGCGTATTAAAAATTTTACGATGTTTCTGCCGACAGTCTATGAGACGGGGTATGAAATATTATAGGGTATGAAAGTTAATGTTAAGACTAGTTTAGTTTCCGAAAACGGGCCCCTTTTCGCAATACGCACGCACGGACACGCGCACACACGCGCCGTCGCTTGTCATCTGCATACTCTTCATTTATTAGCAATTAAAGTAGTATATTAGTTTTATAATATAATTTTGCAGTGTATATTGTATTGTATTGTATTTATATTTATATTTACTTATTTTAATATAGTAGTATAGTATATTAAAGTAGATGGGACCGCGAGTTATCTCTGTACCTATTTCCGCCACGCCGTTAAGCGCTAACTGCGGATTTTGAAACTCGTCTCTCTGAATGTCGGCGACACCACATCGAGGCTCCTTCATCTTCGAGAAGGTGACGTCATCGAGCAGTGATTGCCCGGGTCCGCGTAGTGAAGCAACGCCACTGTTCTGGTTGAAGAGCCTGTCGGAAAGGAAGCCAAGCAACGGATGCATGCCCGCGCAGAGAACATCCTTACAGGAAAGCAAGCTGACAATATAAATAAACGAATAGGTAAATAAATGTATATATTTTTATTTGATTTTCAACACTTGAATTATTTGTTTATGACTCATTTCCTATAGGAACAAGAGAAAGTAGTAGACGAAGAAGAAGAAGAGGACGAGAGAGAGATAGAGAAGAAGGAGAAAAGAAGGGAAGGGGAGGAGAAGGAGCAAAGAAGGGAAGCAGAGGAGAAGAAGCAGACAGGGGGACGGCAGAGATGATAGAGAGGGGAACTGGAGAGAGGAGGATGAAAGGAGGGACAGGAAGAGAAGACGCGGGACAGGAGGGAAGCCAGCGCAAGAGAAGGAAGAAGCAGAGACAAGGGGAGGAAGCAGGACAAGGGAGGAGGAGCAAGAGGACAAGGAGAGAGGAAAGCAGGCAAGGAGGAGAAGCAGGCAAGAGAAGGAGAAGCAGGAGACAAGGAGAAGAGAAGAAGAAGCAGGACAAGGAGGAGAAGCAGGACAAGGAGAGAAGCAGACAAGGAGGAGAAGCAGGACAAGGAGGAGAAGCAGGCGGAGGAGGAGAAGCAGGACAAGGAGGAGAAGCAGGACAAGGAGGAGAAGCAGGACAAGGAGGAGAAGCAGGACAAAGGAGGAGAAGCAGGACAAGGAGGAGAAGCAGGACAAGGAGGAGAAGCAGGACAAGGAGGAGAAGCAGGACAAGGAGGAGAAGCAGGACAAGGAGGAGAAGCAGGACAAGGAGGAGAAGCAGGACAAAGGAGGAGAAGCAGAGCAAGGAATGAATGAGGCATGAGGAGAGGCCGAGAGGAAGAGGCGATGGAAAATAGAGAGGGGAGAGAAGAGGAAGAGGAGAAGAAGAAGGAGGAACATTAGTTGAAGCAAAAGAAAATAAGGTAATAATAATGAAATTTGTACAATACGATACTCACTCGAGCGCATTGGAAAACTCATCCTCAGTAAACACGTTCTGTACTTTGCTGAGATAGCCGTACTGCTGCAGATATTGCTGTAAAACAAGCGTTAGTTCTGCCATGTGCCGCACGGTGGCTCTCGCGATAATTCCTAAATTAATTTCCTCGCCATACCTTGAATCCTAATTTTGGCTATTATACCAATTTAATAAGGTACTAAATATTTTGATATTACGGATTAGATATAAGATTTGTTTTCGTATAATAAGGAAATCAGCGGATTCCAGTCAACAAAATATTGAAAGAGCTGTTTAACGTTTCATGAGTGCATTCTTTATCCATGTACACATATTATCAGGAGTGAATAAAAACAAATTTTATTTTATTCAAGCCTGATATTATAATACGTACATGATTATTATATACATAAGCGGTACATTACGTGCTGAGTAAAATATGTACGCTCAATGTTTAAACAGAGGAAGCAGTTAAATGCGTGCAATCTGATCATGTCAGGAGAGTCCTAATATAGACGCTATAAATATATAGGCTATATTATGACGCCCCTGAACATATCACAATTGTATCTCAGTTTCTCAAGCTGCCAAATCGAATTAGCATTCCAGAAAAAGAAGCCAATGATACATCACGTGACTTACCACGGCGAAGCTGATGCGTTCGTCGGCCTCCGCATCCTGCCGTCTGTCAGATGCCGGCGCGCAGTCGCTCATCGACGTCAGCGTTGCCACGACAACGACAACAATCAGCATGTTGGTTCGCATCCGCATCTGCATCCACATCTCACCCTCTGTCTCCCGTTACAACAGCTAGAAGAGATGTCAGGTGAGTAACTCCCAATATTTCTGTAATATATATATATAGCGCATGTGTGTTGATAGCTGATAGCACAAGTAATAAACTTAGCTATAGCATAAGTTAGCATAAGCATAAGTAAAATTTCACTTTCGATGGCTAGTTGGAACAATTTTCGATTTCGTTGCTTCCTAATAACTTCTCACTCTTCTTCTAACGTATTCCTCACATCCTAGTTTTACAGCGGAGTTCTCCCTGGTAATATACTCACCTAGTAAGGTAACACCTGCGAACGAAAGCGAGAGCGAGCGCGTGTCAAAATATCAGCAAAGCTTCGGTGAGAGAGATCGATTTCCGCTTTCGCTTTCTGACAGTAGTAATAGCGGCCGGCGGCGGGGGATGGAGTGGGCCCCGTGGCAACACCGAATTTGATCGCAACGGGCAGCGCACACGGGCATATATACGCCGAAACCATGGCAACGTCGCGTGACGCTCTTCAACTCAAACATTGTCTGCTAGCGTGCGATGTTCGGTCGGCCCCACCGACGACGCTGACCCAGTAGCTCTACTTTGAACCTCGTAGCTTTCACTTGTTGCTCGCCAAAAAAAATCGCCGGTGTTTCCGTCTTCTTCTTTGCCTTCTTTCATCGTTTAGTAGTGACCCAGTGAAGAGCAGCGCTTCTAGGACAGTTCCGTGAGCGAGGAGAGAGGAGGCAAGGCGCCCTTGAGTGCGGTGTGTTTTTTCTTCTTGTTGTTCTCCCGCTGCTGGGTTTCTGGTACGCTCGCTCCGGACACAATAACTGCCCTAGTGTGCCGCCACACGCACAATACCGCGTGTCTATATGCGCGCGCGTGTGTGTGTGTGAGAGAGAGAGAGAGAGCGAGAGAGCGAGAGAGAGAAAGAAGGAAAGAGAGAGTGTGTGCGAGAGAGAAAGAGAGAGCGCAGGAGAGAGAAGAGAGAGAGAGAGGGAGTGGGAAGAGAGAGGGAGAAGCAGCGCGCGCGAGACCGAGAAATATAGGAAGAGATGGAGATAAAGAGAGAGGAGGAGGCAGAGAGTGGAGAGAAAGCGAATGAGAGAGAGAAAGTTGGAGATAAACAGAGTCAGACAGGGAGAAAGAAAGCGAGAGACCGAAAGAGAGATGGGGGAGCAAACAGATCGCTGTTAGTGAAAGTGTGTAAAGAATAAACTCGCATAACAATAACCTGTGCGCACACACACACACACGCACGCCATCATCTCTTTTCTCTCGTCCGACGCGCGTCAGTTGGCGTGAAAATTGGGTCGCTCGAAATCACACCGATGATTTGAATAGAGGGAAAGTTAGTCGAACCCAGTAGCTCCATTATCGTAGCTACGGATCGCCGCGTACACGCACGCACGCACGCACGTACACGCACGCACGCACGCACGCACGTACGCACGCACGGGAGACACAGAGAGAGAGCCCTATGCTAGGTTGGATGGTATGGCGACAGCACGCACGCGCGCACGCACGTACGACCGTGACATGCCGGTGTATGCAGGATGGAAAGATGTAGGTTGAGAAAACGGTGGGGCGCCACGAGAACTTGTATCAGGAGCGTGATAATGTGGATCGTCTCCTGATTATAGCACGTGACGACTCAATATACGTTGTTTCCTTGTAGGCACCCCGCAGTGCGCGCTCTCCCTCCCCTCCCTCTCTTCTTTCTCTCTATCTCTCTCTCTCGTTCTCTCCCTCCCCTCCTTCTCTCTCTCTCTCTCTTTCTTTCGCTCTCTCACTCTCTCTCTCTCTTCTCTCTCTCTATCTCTCTCTCTCGTTCTCTCCCTCCCCTCCTTC